GGGGTGGGTGCAGCAGCGGGGCAGGAAGGTGATGGAGGGGAGATGGGCTGGCCCTTTTGCTTGCGGATGGGCTGCATGTGGGCTGCGGAAAAATGTTGGAAAAAGCCATCGGGTGTTGGTGTTGGGGCTGCAGCAGGGCAGGAGGTGCTGCGGGAGCATGGCTGTCCCCAAAGCCATGTCCCCAAAGCTGCCTCCTGTCCTCTCTGTGGCCGGAGGGAGGCTCAGGACCCTGCTTGGCTTTTTATTTTTACCAGCCGGTGAGGGGTGCAGGAACGGCACTTCTGTGCATCCCCCTATCTGAGCATTGCCCACCCTTGCGCTCCCTCCCAGCCCTCAGGCTGGCTCTTGTCCATGGGCAGCACCCCATGGAGGTGCGAGGGGGTCCCCCACGTGTGCGAGGGGTGCACGGCCACTGCCCCCACCCCGGGCCCCCGGCCTTGAGTGAGGCAGGGGCTGGAAGGAGCAGGCAGCCTTCCCCTGACCTCCCCGGGTAGGATTTTCCGCCGCGGAGAAGCAGGAGCAGAGCGCAAGGTGCCTCTCGGAGCCGCCGGAGGAAATGGCTCATTGTTAGCCCTGCTGAAAAAAAGAGAGACCCAAAAAATTGCAATAATGAGGCCAGCTTCTATTTGAGGGTTTCCATGGGAAAAACAGGAAACGGAATCCTGTTACTTTTCTAGGGCTTGCTGCCGATAACGCTGTTTTTAGGACAGGGCAGAGAATGAGGAGGAGGAGGAGGAGGTGGGGATGAAGGCAGCCCCAGCAGTGAGCCCTCGTTCCCCCTGCTCGGAGGCTCGGTCTCGCTTCCTCGTGGGCTGGGAGATAAAACTCCTGGGTGTCGCTTTGGGTTGGTGTTTCTCAGCCTCTCCGGTGAGCTGGCGTAGGGGCCATCAGGCACATCCCCGCAGAGCTCGGACCTGGTGCGGCTCCGGTGCGTGTCCCCAGCCCTTGTCCCCTCCTTGGAGCCACCTTCCCCGCCGGCACCGTGTGTTAAGGATGAGCTGTGGGGGCTGGGGGCCTGCGGCACTGGGGATGGAGGGCACGGAGAGGGCTGGCGCAGGGGATGCCCTGAGCGAAGAGGCCACAGGGCTTTGCTGCGGGACGGTGGCACCGTCAGCGCCGTAGGGAGCCACTGAGTTAACAGGGGATGCAGCATCCCCAAACCCGCCTCCAGCCGTCCCGGCTGGCAGAGTTGCCCCGGAATGCGGTCCTGGAAACCCATGAGCATCCCCTGGCCCTGCAGGTCTGTCCCCTCCGGGGCCGGAGGTGCTGTGGTGGGCTCTCGTGGGCAGAGCATGGCGCTGGGCATTCGGGAGGGCCGAGCTAGAGCCACATCCTGCCCTGGCATCGTGACGTGGGGCTGCGAGCGGTGGTGGCACGTGAGCCGGCAGCGTGGGCAGGCTCCACACGTACACGCTCGCATCAATGCGGTGGCATCAGCCTGCATTATGGCTACTGGTACGGCTGTGAACGGGGATGATCCTGCCCCAGGAGCTCGACCAGGGATGCCAGCAGTGGTGGGGACCAGCACTGGCAGAGCCACGTGGCCGGAGAGCTGCGGTGGGCCGCAGGGCTGGCAGTCTGGTGAGAGGAGGTCAGGAAAGGGGACGAGGCTCTCTGGCTGCATTCCCAAATTTCTCTCCATGTGGCACCAGGGACCTCTGGCCGGGTGAGCTGGAGTCCTCCGGAGCTGCCGCTTTGAGACACGGCAGGAACGAGAGCCCCGCAGAGCTGGGGCTGGCGTCCCTGGCGCGGAGGCTGCCAGGAGGGAGCTCAGTTTGGTCATGATGCAGCCAGGAGGGGACAGAGCCAAGTGGGGACCCGGCGCGGGCTGACGACGGGGCTGCGAAGGAGATGCTGTCAGGATAAAAGTTTGTGTTGGGAAGGAACAAGGCGATTTCCTTCCCCGCGTTAACACCCAAACCGGAGTGGGAGGAATGTCAGAGAGCCAGTTTGCGGCGGCTCCTCTGGCCTCCTTGCCGCTCCACTTCTCTTTGGCACTTGGCTCGGTGTCACCTGGGCAGCGTCACCCCCCTCCTGGCTCCTTCAGGTGATGGGGATGTGGGTGGGGGTCCCCAGCCAGGCAGGTGGCTCTGGTGTGAGGTGGGATTTGGCAGCAGGTCAAGCCGTGCCCTTGGCAGCGCCCATCTGGCCGCTCAGTGCTGCCAGCCCGGTGTCTCCCGTGGGACCCCTGTCCTGTGCCGTCCCCGGGACTGGCTGTGATGACGGGGAGCCCCATGCCCGCGCTCGAGCCGTGGGTCCTGGCAGCCGTCTCCGGTTCCCCTGTGAGGTACATGGGGTTTGCCCAGGCGCAGCGGTGCTGTGAACGGCTCGGTGGGTGCTTGGGTGCTGCCGACAGCCGGGCGGTTGTGAGGCCAGTGGGAAAAGAGGAGACTGTTGGGCATCTTAGTGGATGCTCAGAGCAAACCCTGCTGTCATCCCCCGTCCTGACAGCCAAAAGCTGCCCCCAGGATTCCCACCCTGCCTACAGACAGTGCATCCATCCCAATAAGTCCCTGCCCAGGCTGGGACGTGGCATGGGGGCTGCCGGCAGCCCGGGGGGTTACTGGGAGGCACCTGGGGGTGGCATGGGGGCTGCCGGCAGCCCGGGGGGTTACTGGGAGGCGCCTGGGGGGTTTCTTTCCATCACCGAGGCGTTGCTGCCTCCTGTTCCCAGTGCTGCTGCTCCTCTGTGGGATGTGCATCCCCGCCCCAGCAGCTCCCAGCCCATCTCCCTCCTGCTCCCTGGGGGCTGCAGTCGTGGCGTGCCGGGGCAGGGATATCCCGGGGGATGGGAGGCACACGCTGGCTGTGTGCAAGCAAGCAAGCATGCCCCCAAATCCCCGCTGAGCTGCAAAGCTCCTCAGCCCTGGTTTGGGTTAAAGAGAATTAAAATGCTTTCTCCTGCGGGGTGGTAATCCCGGAGGCTGGGGCACGGCCAGGCGGGCTGCCCGGCTGCTCCTGGCGTGGTCACCTGGCTGCTGCCCCCCGTTCTCCTGCCACCACATCCCCCGGGCCAGGCCCTGCTGCCAGAGCATCCCTGCTTTGCCCAGGGTGCATGGGTGGGTGCAGGCAGCCTCTGCCCGCAGGGAAGCGTCAGTCTTGGCTCCCTTCGGGGGTGCAGCCTCCCCAAATGCTGCCTGAGCTGGCCTGGACCGAGGGGCGTGGGTGGGACCCCCGTCCCCCCTTCCCCTCCGGGGACCCGCCGCAGGTGGGAGCAGGCAGCGGCTTTGCCATATAAGGTCTGGAAATCGGTTATTGTCTCAACATGGCTTTCTCCTCCCTGAAAATCCTATTAAAACCTCATTTTTCTGACCCTAATCTCCCCTCGCTGTTTGGGAGGGATTAGTGTTTGCCCCCCCCCAGCCCTGCGCGCTGCCGGCTCTGTGCCGGAGAAATCTACTTCCCGCACGGAAAGCGGTGCTGGAGGAGGGAGGTTGGGGCTGAGCCCAGCACGCCGTGGTGGCGGCAGGACCGGCAGCTGC